GAGTTTAAGAGTTGTAAGAGTTTAAGAGTTTTTAAGAGTTTAAGAGTTTTTAAAAGATTTAGCCAAATGCTTTATAATATAGTATAGATATAAGGCTGCCATGTGAGAATCGTGAAGACAATGGGGGGGAACAATCCGTCAGTTTAAACGAATATACCTTTCAACCGCTTCAGCCGCCTCCTACGACTCAATCGTCGCCTCACTCAGCCCCTTGGCAAATGTCTTTTAGGGAAAAGTTGCTGCCTTTCTACAAAAGGTTCGGGTTCAGCCCATTTTTGTCAAATGTCTTAATTTTCAGCTTAATTTTTAGAGGTTTTAAATACTTTTTGTGTTTTAAGAATTAAATGTAAGACCGGACTCAAAGAAGGGTTCATTTTATACACTGATAAGGAACCAACCTACAGATCTATACTAATTATGTGAAAATTTTTATCGAGTTTTTCTTATACTCAAATGTGCAACCACCAACCACTTAAAATCTTTTCTGGATCTGCCTCCGATGCACACTCTTCACCTTTGGTAAGGTTTAAACTCTTTACCTGAAGTAACCTTTGGTAAGGTTTAAACTCTTTACCTGAAGTAATACCTCGATTTGTTGGCAACCCGAATACAACTGCGCCAATGTCCCTTTGGTAACATAGCAGACTTCTTGCAATTGATTGTCAAGGCCCAGGCTTTTTCAGGCCACGCCGGACTTTGGGGTTGAAAAGGGACCCGATCGGGCTTTTTCAGACCGTGCTTTTTTGGGTTAGGCCCGAGCCTACCTCTAAAATCTCGGCTTGATCAGGTTTTGAGGCCTGCCCTGAATCAGTCTTTTTCGGGCTGGGCTTCAGGCTTGGTTTTTTATGCATCTCTAGATAGGATAGCTAATCATGCACATAACAATCATAAGTGCAGGAAATGATATCTGGGATTTCATTTCCATTCTTGTAAATCATAGTGAAAAGGATTATATATAAAAGCTTAAGTAAAGAAGTTTGGCACATCCAACAATGGCAACGGTGGAGGGAGCAGACTCTTACCCGATTAGCGCTAACTGGGCAAGAGACGCTTACCAACAATCCATTTTAATTGCCGAGAATGTTACCCAATAAGGAAGTAAGGATGATGACTTTTGCTGGTAAGCGCTTAACCAGTAAACATTTGGAAGCATCCCCTAACTGAGGCTCGTGATCATTACCGGGACAACATTTCGGCCAGCAACATTGTGGGTCAGAGGGTGTGGGTAAACAAAATCATTCTCACCAGGTCAACACCACTTACCCGGTAAGTAGTGGCAAAGTGTTTAGTAAACAAGCCATTGTCCTCATGGTTTTAGCCTAACAGGTTAGAAGGTGGGAAATGAGAGGTCTGGGGTTTAGACTCCATGCGCCACCCACTTGTCCTCGGGCGCACGATTTAACTTCCCCATGCTGGGTGTGGGACAGTATGATGGGTGCGCCCAGAGGATGGCGTCACACCCCTTTGCAGAATAATTTAGTTTCCTTACATGGGGAACTCAGACGTTAAAACGACTCTGCATATATATATTTTTACACACAATGACCCAGGCCCGGATAAAGGATGAGGGCATGCGGTCAGGTCTTGCAAGCCTGTGTATTGAAGGGAAAAATCCTAACCCTAAATTCCTAACAGAAATGGTTTATAAAAATAGATCTCTTTCTTGACTTCATTTCGGTAATTCTTATCAAGAAACACAAAGTTATCAATTAACAAGGCACACACGATTGACTTGGAAATGGCTCAAAGTGTAAGGGGGCCCGTGCGCGCGCACACACACACACACATATATAGAGGAGGTTTCAAATACAACCCAAGCAATTGTTACAAACTATACAACCCAAATCAATTGAGATACTTATAGAAATGATGAAGGTTCATTTATTATGATTTGGATAATTAGAATTCATTAATTATGATCAACACTTTATATCAGGAAACAGTCAAGATATATATGAAACCACATACTAATAAAATGAACGGTTGAGATTGGGTTGAAATGTTTGTAACAATGGGTTGGGTTGCATAATAAACCACCTTTCTACCTCTATATATGTGTGTGTGTACATATACCTACATAAGGGGTAAATCAAATAGAAACCGTCTATAACTTAGAAACTCTATGAACCAATATTGACCACACACTTTTAACTTGCGTAATTATCTTACTAATTATATTACTTACCTTATCAACCGTTTACAAAAAAACTCACTTTTTCCCATTTGAAATCACCTGATTTATGTAATGTTTCGTTGGTGAACGACAATATACTAAAAAGAATCAATCACATGAGTTGTTTCATTGGTGAAACAACATTGTATCATCAAAACATATCAACAAACATCAACCCGTTCGTTGTTTCATTGGTGAAATAAAACTGCTGCTGTTTCAAAAGCAAAACGAACAGCGAGTTTTTTTAAGGAAAAGATTGATAAGGTAATTAATATAATTAACAAGATATTATGGAAGCTAAAAATGTGTGGTCGATATTGGTTCATAGAGTTTCTAACACATAGAAAGGTTTGATATGATTTTGGGCCTATATATATGAACAAACAATTATGAAAATAATACCAACTATTGATAAAATACTAGAACCTTTCAAGTAGAAAATACATACCAGTTAACAGCTGGTTGGAATGCATCTGCTCCATATTTGGACACAAGTCAACATCAAAAAATATCGATGGTAAATCGAGTGCCTGTAAGAGGATAACATCACCAAAATATATACTTCAAAACGATAATAGCAAGTCGGGAGAGGTAAAAGTACCTTAACACCGGCCAGTGAAACTCTCTATGTACCAATTAGGGTACAATGTGTCTTCATCTTCTGCTTTATTTGTTAGCCAATGGGTATCTGGGTCAGCTTGCGCGGACTTGGACTAATCCCATGAGGCCCTAAAGATTACTGTCAGAAAAATCCCTAGTGGCCCTGAAGATAAGAGTCAAAAACATCTTCAATGGCCCTGAGGAGACTCGAACTGGCGACCTAATGGGAGGAACCCCAAGGCTTAGCCTTTATCTGCCAATTGAGCTGGCTCACGAGGTTATATGTCTTCATCTTTACATTCAAGTTTAAATATATGCCTTCAGAAGTTATAAATATGGCCAACGGCCCGATTCGTAGCAGCTTAATGAGCTTAATGGGACTCACGGCTTATTCAGTCGGTTATACGTGACTGTTTGGTAGTGGCTTGATGATATAGAAAGCTGCTTATTCAGTAAGCTTCTAGGGAGAGCTTTATGCAGAAAGTCAAGTTTTTTCCAAACCTGTCCCACCCAATTAAAGAACATGCTCCTTCCATTTATGAAAAAAACCTCCTAAACAAAAAACTTCTCACTCTATGCAGACAGATTAATCCATATAGACAGCTTTATCCATATGGTACTTAATGGAAAACCAACCAAACAACCCCTATGAGACTCACAGCTTATTCGGTCAACTATACATGACTATTTGGTAGTGACTTAATGATATAGAAAGTGGCTTATCCAGTATGCTTTTAGGAGGGAGCTTTATGCAAAAAAGCCAAGTTTTTCCAAAACTGTCACTCCCGATTAAAAACACGCTCCTTCCATCTATGACAAAACCCTCTCAAACAAAAACCTTCTTAATCTATACAGACAGATTAATCCACATAGACAACTTTATCCATCCAAGACAAAACCACGTTAATGAAAAATCAACCAAATAACCCCTACAAAGCACTTTGATCAACTAAAATATTATAAATTCCAACAAAAAACATGCAAATTGTAGGTCATGTACTTGTAAAACTTCCCCTAATAACAAAAAGATGTCCATTAAGATGCATGAGGATGCAATTAAATTCTTGACAGAGTTCATTATGTAAATGTGATGAACACTACAAACAAGATAGCAAAAACGATCAACAAATGTGCCAAAATCTTCATCACACCTATATCATTCTCACAGCCACCAAAGCAGGAAACTAGCAAATAAGCTTCATTACCAAACCAAATCAAACAAGCCCAGTATATCCCACCCGGGGGTGGAGTCTGGCGGAGGTAAGATGCACGCAGACCTGACCACTTTCCGAAAGAGTGGCGGTTTCTGTGAAGATCCCCGGCAAGTGAAAAGTGTGTGAAAGAGAAAAAAGTCATTACAATAAATTTAAAAAGAGAATGTTGTTTAAATTTGATAATTCAATCAATGCTTAGTGTTGAAAATACATACACAAGAAACCTCGGATCATGCAGTTTCAACTATACTGAAGTACTGAGCGGGACAAATTATTCCTGCAAAACTGTTCTAAATTACCTGATTGACTAAATTACAGTGAAAGCAGAAAATATGCAGTAGACATGCTAATTATACAACAGAGCAACCAAATTATGGGCATTCATTTTTCGATTCCCTTCTGGTTGGTTGCTGACAAATGTGGTGTTACTTTCCATGGACAAAGCCCGTAGAGACCGCTTGAAGAGGTCACCAAGAATAATTTCACGGTATAAAAAATGGTTCCCCATTTTGAGGCATGCTCTCGATCCATTCACACCACAAGTCCAGGTGAGATACGACAATTTTAGACCACAAATTTCTATTATTCCTCAAAAGCATGTGTACATATCTTCTCCAGCAGCATGGGCCAATCTTCCCCAAGCTGCTGAGGGTTCAGCTCCATGGCAACCCTAAATTCTAGCAAAGATATTGTCCGTTTGGGTTCATTTTCTTGCATTGTGTCCAAAGGCCAACTGCTAGTTTGCATTTGATAATGATGGCCAGGTCTGACACCGTTTAGAGGCCTCAAATGAGCCGGAGTGTTCTTAAGGGGCACGTGCCCTGACCGTGCCCCATTAAGTTCAGAACAAGACCTTATCAAACCCTTCAAATAAGCATCCAATCCGTTGTTGAGTGCATTGGCACAATCCACCGACACTCCTTGAAGGTCGTGTGTTGCAGCAATCGGGTCCATACGTGCCCTCAAAGTTATTGTATCTAACAAACTGTTGGTGCTGGATACACCAACACATTTACTACTACTTGCCAAAGGTATTGCCGAGCGGGACCCACCAATACTCACTGGGCAGTAAGGAATCCCGAGTGGAGCATGTAGTGATATCCTGCCAGATACCCCTTTCCCGTCTTTTCTACTTAATGATTCAGACTCAGCTTTGCTATGCACAGCAAGCAAACCGTCTGGTGATTGTGAAGTAGAAGCAGCCAACTTAGCCGAGTGGTGGCTGGAGTTCTCATTGGCATTTTCCATTTGTTGATTGAGTTCTTGATGATGCTGCACTGGCCTTCGAGTATCAGGGGAGGATGAATTCCCATTCTCCAAAGGCGTACTAAAATCTTCTGAATGCGGGATGGATGATGAAGGGGAAGAATAATTTGTCTTGCCATTTGGCCCGAGAGCACTTCTACGGTCCACACCTCTTCGTTCACGAGCTCCTGTCCTTGCCTTTCGTAGAGATGGTGACAAAGTGTCTCCATTTGGCAAAGCCAGTGGATTTGAAGCCTGGGTTACAGCCGAAATGGACCCATTTTGATGGTAAACACCATCTGAAGGTTTCTTATTTCCCGCTTGTCTTAAAGGATTGTCATTTGCTGTACAGGCATTCTTTAGGATCGAATGAATTAACTGATTATGAAGCGGAATACCATCTCTCCCGATGGTTCTTAGACAAAGCTTATCAAATTCAACCTTGCTTAACTTTAAATTCAAAAACCTATTCAAGTAATCAAAATACTGCTTAGATCTCTCAGGCCCAAGCTTCCTGATTATCTGACTTTTCAATTCAGCAAGATTGATCCATGAATGCTGCTGCGGTGGTTGCATTTCTCAACACAAAAGTTCCATAAAACACTCACAAGACTGTCAATTTCTTGCTTCACCACACAAAAACCTAAAGCCCCTAATTTGGCCAACTAAATTAGGGTTTTGCTCCATCTACAAAATCCCATCTTCCAGAACAAATTCAGTCCATTCAACAACAGCCCACACAGCAAATAGCGGAAACACATCATGGGAAACCCTAATTAGGTTTACAGTAGCGAGAAAAGAAGCAAATCACGAGTTACAGTTCCCAACCAACTCTCCCTCCAAAACTCAGTTCCCAAATTATTCAAATTCCAATCCACCAACACACAAACCCTAACCTCAATCGCATCTACATCACACAAAAGCCCTTAATTTTCAAAAAGAAATACCTCCTTCAAACTCCAAGTGTTCACAAATCACCATATTAACAACCTACCAATTCCAATAATCTTCCGGAAACTAGAAATAGAACTTAAAATGTAACAATTTAATCAAACGGTTGAACTTTTCAAACTTTCCAACACCAAATTCGATATTTTCATACAGAATTGGAAAGCAAAACGACAGCCGATTGGAGAGATTTAAGCTTCTATTCAACTTTAACAATAAACAGAAATTGATAATCCTGACCTTATTGCATCTCTACCAAAATTGAGATTCAGAAAACCGTAGTGTTGGCTTTCACAATCTTCAAACTCTTTGATCGTTGGAACCCCGAGCTAACAACAATAGCTTTCAATTATCGTCTCAATTTGTCGAATTTTTCTTCGGTTTCTAGAAATTGCTCCACCGCATTTATGATTTGCCGGCCGATTTTTGAACCTGTGGCTTTGAATCAGAGCTTGAAGAACCCTCTTTGTTTCTCTGATCGCTCTCTTCTCTTCTCTTTCTCTCTCTACTTTCTCATTCCGACTCTTTTTTCGTTTGTGTGTCTGGATTACAAATAACTTTTCATTATTACAAAACAAGTCCTTCATCTTTCAAATATATACACACAACTACCCTGTTATTTTCTACTCTTGATGAATAAATGTTTGACACTTTCCTTTTTAGGAAATGTTATCTCCATTCGTCACAAAATAAGTATCTATATTTTCATTTATAATTGAGGGTAAAACTGTCATTTGGTTACTAAAAAGCGTAATAATTACATATGTTTAGACTTGTACTAATGATGTGTGCTTGTACAGTTAAAAGATAAACGGCATATGGTTGATGATGTAGGACAGATCCAGTAGTTGATGGATTCCGTCATGAATCAATAAGAAAAACAGATACGAGCAGAGAAAACCAGATATGCTGTTACAAAATCTGTGTCAAAAGCTAGAATAATCCTTCATGCGACATAAGTCACGCACGTATCTGAATATTTCAGCAATATTTTCCTTTAGTCTTTTATTTAGCTTTTAAGTTTCTTAGTTAATTTAGGATTGTTATCAGTTTCCTTCTAATTATTATTTAAATTGTCTCCTAATAGGTTGAGATTTAATTTAATTCTTATAGTTATATGCAGGATAGTTTATCCTATAACAGGGTTCGTTGTTTTCATCAGTATTCAGTTGATAACTAATAAAATAACCCTTTTATAGTATATGTCAAGCAACGTTCTAAATGACGTGAAACGTGTGAAGAAGGCAAGGTCAAGCCTCAAGTCAAGACGTTCTTCAACGAGTGACCCAAGGCAGCAAACCCATATATTATAGGGCAAATTGCATGAAAATGTAACGTACTTTAACTTGATTCCTATTTTGGATAACGCATTTCCAAAACTTCCATTTTGGTACCTAAGATGTAAAGTTTTAAATATTTAAGTACCCGTGTAACCGGTTGAAGCATTAACCAATTATCATACTGATGTGGCGAGTGATATGATATTCAACTCAGTATTATTTGCTGACGTGGTTAGTGACATGGATTTTTTAAATATAAAATTAGTCTTCAACCGGTTACTCGAGTACTTGAATATTTAAAACATTACATATTAGGCACCAAAATGAAAGTTTTAAAAGTACGTAACCCAAGATAGAAATCAAGTTAAAGTACGATAATTTTTCATGCAATTTGCCCAATATTACAAATACACATACATAATTGTATCTTACTGTTACTTAATGATTTAATGATATTAAACAATAAATTTATACAGAATAAAGATACCTCACATATATATATATATATATATATATATATCTGTCGATTTCATTGTTTAATCTTATGAAATTTTTTCATGAAATTGTTTAATCTTGTGAAATTGTTTCATATAATACTTTTTTTTGATGAAGTTGTTTCATATATGGTTGTGAAATTGTTTCATATAATACTTAATGAAACTGTTTCATGTATTTCTCTAACATTAATGAAACTGTTTCATGTATTTCTCTAAAATTAAAATAATGAAGATGATAATATCTATGATTAACACCCTCCACAATAAAAATGATTAATCAACCTCTCATAATTACAAAATAATGAACAAAATGAAAAATTATGATTGGTTGAATGCGGTTTGCACGGTTTGTACAAATTGAGTGGTTTGCATTTGATCGCTCCCCTATATATATATATATATATATATACACACATACATACACAGAGCATGAATCATTTACAAAAATCGTCTATTCTAATGAATATTTGGTTCAATGAATATCTCGATTGTTTCCTAATAGAAATCGTTGATCATAATAAATAAACTCTAATAATCTTCCGTAAATATCCAAATCATATCGTAATAAAATAAACCCTCACAATTTCCATAAATATCTCAATTAAATGAAACCACCTCTATATATACATACATATAAAACGCACAAAAACTGTTAAATGAATATCTCACAAGTCGTAACAAAGTAAAAAACCGAAATCAGTGCAACCTTTAAAAAATAATAGGAAAGTCAAATAGCACATTGAAAAAACGCGCACCATAATTCGTCATACTGCACGTGAAGACACTGGTTCATGCCTCGCCTTATATAGCTGCTAAAGGAAGTTAACGTGATGTCAGACACACGCCTTGTGCCATAAGTCGTCTTTTAGAATCCTGATTTCAAGTCGAAGACAACAATCCAATGGGAAGAAAGGAGTTATGATCCATAGATTCGAGAACTATGAAAATCTTCTTTCTTCATTGAAAGGCGTCCATGAGATCTGAAAACCGCTTATAGTCATGACTCTCGGGAACCCATCAATCGACTGACTTATAACTACATCATTCTTTCAAATTTCTTAAATGATTACTAGTAACCCCTATTTCCATTAGGGCAAATTGCATGAAAAAGTAACGTACTTTGACTTGATTCATATTTTGGGTAACGTACTTTCAAAACTTTCGTTTTAGTATATAAGATGTAAAGTTTTAAACATTTAAGTACCCAGGTAACTGGTTGAAGCGTCAACTAATTATCATGCTGATGTAGCGAGTGATATGACATTCAACTCAGTATTATTTGATGATGTGGTTGGTGACATGCATATTTTTTAATCTAAAGTTGGTCTTTTTTTAATCTAAAATTGGTCTTTTTTTACATCTTAGATACCAAAATAAAAATTTTGAAACTACGTTACCAAACATAAGAATAAAGTTAAAGTACATTATTTTTTCATGTAATTTATATTTTTTATAATCTTAAAAGCAAATCCATACAAAAACGAGTTCCAAATAAAGGACTAATGTGCATAATTTTGATACCATAAGGGGTATTTTTGTAAAATATTGTTTCTGGTCTCATTATTTATTTTAGGTTTATATGATATTACAATTCAAACTCCCATTTTCTTTCGGGAAATTGATCAAAATAATCAATCTCTAACTAAATTTAATTTTTAACTATTTTTTAATTGAATTTTTATTTTAGTCAGAGTTTTCATAAATGGATTACCCATTTGTTTAAACTCGATTTTCAATTTTTCTTTTTTTCGTAAAGATTTTCTTTTTCATTTATTTAATCTGAAAATAGCCTCCAAAAGTACCAGGAGGTCCAGGTTCAAATCTAAGAAGAGATAAAAATCCCCTTATGGCCACAAAGGTTCAAATGCGGTGACTCCGGGCTATCTGCAAAGCGGTGGTCGTCCTAGGATTAGTCGGCTCGCATAGCGGGTTGGATATCTAGGTTAATCAAAAAAAAAAAGCCTCTAATTTACATAAGCTATGGCTAAAATGGAAAGTCGATACCAGAAGTGGTTAAAAAGTGAAAGTGGTTAATGAGATTGACTATTTTGGTCAATTTAATTGTTCAGATATCAAATATCAGATATCGTAACAAAGTGAGGTCGTTCTTGTCCTGTATTTCCTTCCCTTTTCATTTATCTTCATTTTGCTCTTATTACGGTATTTCTTGAAAATAATACATGAAACTGAAGCACAAAATCCGAATCCGTTAACTGTCGTAAACGTTTTATGTTGTCATTAATCTCGAAGCAAGAAATCGTCAACGTTTTGATAAGGAAATTTATCATATATCATCGATGATCACATATTAAATAGAAAACGTTGTTAGAGCTATTAATTTCCCGTCAATAAAAAATACCATTCTCTTTCTTAATTGGAACACGCCCTGAGCCCCATGAAATTAGTCGGGTATCCTGTCCAGTTTACCAAACACACCCTCCGAGCCCCATGAAATTAGTCGAGGTGCGCACAAACCGGACTAAAGAGGAAAAAGAGTACCATTCCGTTTTTGTTAATTTTGCTTTGAATATATATTATTGTAACGATTACATGAATGCTTTATTTAAGTTTTGTATATGATCTTGTAAATAAGGCTAGTTTCCTGCCACTACTTTGAGTTGAGTCGAGTCGAGTCGAGTCTATAAGAAACTAATGAGACCATCTTCAAACCGGCTTGAACCCATGTCGTAAAGCCGCTTCCCAGACCAAATCAAGCCGGTCCACATCGATTGCACCCACTTCATGGTGGCTCCAACCTTCAAGAAAATGAACGATCCCACCCGCATGGCAAGCATGAACCACACCTCTTTCCATCGTGTACTGTTCAAACGGTTAGCGAAAAACACACAAAAAAGTTTTAAGTTTCACGATAAATTCAAGAGCAATGGATGCTATGGCCGAAAGGGTAGTTTTGTCTTTTCACATACCTCGCAGGTGCCTAGGCCTTGGACGTCATCGGGAAGCTTCATGGCTGCGAGCTTACTATACGTGCAATCTCTTCTGAATTCGATAACCGGTGGAACCACAAACTGATGGAAGTGTGTTCCTGGTGGTGCCCAACTTTGCTCTCTTGGTAAGGTCCATTTGCCCAGAATCCAGGTCTAGTTGATTCATGAAAAATATTCGAACGTAAATTAGCTGATAAGTTAGCTGTTAGCTGAAATACTAATTGTTGGCTGAAAAGTTAGTTGATGGCTAATAAGCTGCTACCTGCGTCTCAAAATAAATGTCAGTATTGAAAAAGACACATAAGTTTGGAAATGTGTGAACAGTACACTTTTTATTTTAAGTAAATGACTATTTTACCCTTAATAATAGAGGGAGTAGTTAATTTCTTTAGTCTCATAAATAAGGGCCAAATTGAAAAGTAGAGTCCTACTTTTGAAAGTGGACACACTTAGTCACGGTCTTGTAAACACTAGTTGATAAGTCTACTAAAAATGTAAAATGACTGAAAAGGACATGTTAAAAAATTAGTCAATCCTAATATATAAGAGGGCATAATTGGAAAACTATTTGAAGTAGCTTTTCAGAAGCTAGTTGTGACTTATCAAACGTGGCTTTTTCAATAAGCTATATAATAATGTAAAATGACAAAAAAGGACATGTTGAAAAATTATTTAATCCTAATATATAAGAGGCGTAATTGGAAAAAGAAGTGAAAAAAATCCTTTGGAACTTGTTGAAAAACTATCTGAAATAGCTTTTTGAAAGCTAGTTTATGACTTACTAAACTCGACTTTTTCAATAAGTTCAAAAATAAGCCAACTTATAGTTGCAAAACATGGTCTTAGTACTTTAAATAAATGACGCTTTTGTCCGTTACTTATCGTTTTTCGGCTACCAACAGAGACCATTAAAGATCGAACAACGAACGTACTCTACCTTGCAGTGTTTAGCTGCTTGATACTTTGTAACTTGAACTAACAAGCTTTGGTCTTGCAATGGAGCTTCTTTCTGAATGCTCGTAAATCTTTCGGTCGATTGAGTAAGCATCTGCGCGTAAAATTCGTCACCCAGATCAAGATTGGAGCTTACGAGAGTAACAAACCGAACCAGACAAACCCACCTGAGGTGGGGCCCGGGGATTGTAAAATGTATGCAAACATGACCTCTACCCAAAGAGTAGAATAGTTGTTTCCATAAATACCCTCATCTCGTGAAAAGTGTAACAAAGAGAGAGAGAGAGAGAGAGACAAATACGATAACATTGTATTCATATATCCGTACCAAGACTCTAACTCCACGACGAGCTAGATAAAGGGCGATGGCCCTTCCGAGCTTAGAAGTAGCTCCGGTTAAGAACACCTCTTTGACATCTAGAGGAATCTCCTTCAGAATAACGGCTGCGGTCAACGTGTTTCCATGGACCACGCGGACTTTAAGATCCGGAAATTTTGTGACGAAAAGTTTCCCACCTCCATTTAACGCTTCATTCTGTAAAAACCACAACCAACGTTTAAAACTCGAGCCTTTGACGCTCGTTTTCGTTTCGATTTGCGTATAACCATAAGCAAACGAAAAGGAATTTGAGAAAGAAAGCGGTGCGGACCTTGTTCAAGGCCGCGAGGCTAAGGACCTTGACACCAATTTTATCGGCCTTCAGTATAGCTTCTTCGATTTGCTTATTTATGCCGTCTTTGGCGAACGGTAAAAAATACTACAATCATAAAAACAATCGCCAGTAAAATCCAGTTTCTTAGACCGCTTTATAGCACTTAAGTTTACACGACCAAATAATTATGCGTCATATATATATATATATATATATATATATATATAAATGTGTTACAGTAAGTTGGCTTTTTGGGCGTCTTAACAAGTTTTTTACGACAATTATGAAATAAAAAGTTTTATTAGTCTTTTTTACATAACATTATTTGAAAAAATGTCTCATAAAAACAAGCACCACCCTGTTAGCTTTTCTATAGAACACTTTTAAGAAGTGTCATATAAACACATCTTTTTTAATGATACTTGTCTTTATAGACACTTTCACAAATAATGTCATGTAAAAAGACTAATAAAACGTTTTATTTCAAAATTGTTGTAAAAAACTTGTTAGGATGCCCAAAAACGTCCTATCAACTTACTGTAACACATTTATACAATATAAAACACACAATTATTAGGAAATTGACCAAAATAGTCAATCTCTCCATCCAACTTCACTTTTTAGCCACTTTTTCAATTGAATTCCTGTTTTAGCCGGAGTTTACGCATATATCTTGCACATTTGTGTAAACTCGATTTTCAGATTTAAAAAAGATTTCCTTTATGTAAAAACTCAGATTTTTGCATAAGGATTTTTTCCCCCAAAAATCGGTCTTCACGCAAATGCGTAAAACATGTGTCGTAAAGACCGACTATTTTACCAAAGGGACTTCGGCCTAGCGGTATCATAGCCTTTGGCCTCCTAGGAGGTCAGGGGTTCAAACTTCACCAAAGATGAGAAGAGTGTGTGAGTTTATTTGTTGTATTTGCCGTATACAAATATTATATACTTCAAACCCCCCCCCCCCCCCCCCCCCCCCCCGCCCCCCGCGACTATTTTGGGAAGAGGCTCTGAAAAAATGACTAAAAAGTGAATTTGGTTGATGGGATTGACTATTTCAGTCAATTGCCCACAATTATTTGATCTTATAAACTCAAAAACGTCCTATAAAATCGATTTTGTGGTTACCATGAAACCGAATCTTGGTACCACCCAACATTGAAGTAGTTTTCCTCTAAGATTGCAGAAAGTGTGCAAGAAAGTTTTGGACTTAGCCCACATGATGAGAGTCACCAAGAAAGCAAAAGGCCATATTGGCATTAAGATAAGCTTTGTAGCAAATGGCAATGAGCTTAATGACCTAAAAACAAATGGAGCATGCATTGATGACATTATATCAATCCCATGTGCAAGAAACACAAATTCTGGTGCTTTTGCTTTCTTGCCTACAAAATAAATACAGAATTATGTATCAGTCGAGGTGCGTGCAAGCTGGCTCGGATACTCACAGTTAAAAAAAAGCAAAAATATGTATTAAGGGAATTGAATTTACGCACAAAATTAGGGGGAATTGACTCTCTCCAACCAACTTCACTTTTTAGCCACTTTTTCAATTGAATTCCCATACCAGCCAAAGTTTACGCAAATCGGTTTTGCAGATTAAAAAAAATTGCGTAAAGAGATTTTTGTGTATATGCGTAAAGATATTTTTTCCAACAAGTTCAGTCTTTACGAAAATGCGTAAGACATCTTCGTAAAGACCGGCTATTTTGGGAAGAAGCTCTGAAAAGTGGCTAAAAGTGAATTCAGTTCAGCCACCGTTTTTATTTTTTCTCACAAAATAGCCAGGAAACCACAAGTCAACGTAGCATGACACTTTTTCTTGAGGTGCTGCAAGCTGCGGCCTCTCAATTTATTTTTGTCGTGGACCCACTTTTCATCTGGGTGCGTCAGAAGATGTCAGAAACCGCAACTTGCGGTGTTGACTTGTGGTTTATTGGCTATTTTGTGAGAAAAAAGTTTCGAGGTGGCTAAAAAGTAAAACTTTATCCCCGTGTGGTTATTTATGATGATAAACCCATAATCTTAGACGGTAATTAAGATTCGAGCAAAAGGTTGATTACTGGCAACCTTGACCGGCCCCACATGGACCCCCCCCCCGAACCATATGTGAGGAGGGATTTTAGAGCTAACTCGGTGGCTGAGGCTAGCGGAGGGGTTTACCGTTATGTATTTGAGAAAAGTCGCTTCGTCCCTTTGCCAATTAAGCTACACACTTGAGGGGATAGACCCAAATTAATATATCTTTTTAAGAACCATACAGACGTCTGAATGGACTGAAAGAAGGATATACCTGATGAACTGTTTTCCTTATGAAGATCCCAAGAAGCTTCATTCATGGTGTTTCCCAATACATCAAAAAGAGGCATAAAGAGGCAGAAATTGGTCTTCATGTCTGTGTGGTGTATGAAATGGTACCTAACCAAATGAACCCATAATCAAGACCTCAATTTTGTTTTCTTGGATGATTGAAGTGTAAAATCGCGTGAAACGCCATCAGATTACTCTCCGTAAGAGCCGTTAAGGAGAGAACAGAGGTTCCAACATATATAGAGAAAAAATGGTCCAAAGGAACACAAGCCTTCTAACGTCATGGCCGAACTCAGGGGTTGTTTACAATCTGTTAAGCACGTCTTATTGGTAAACGACCCCTTAATCCCTTATACAGATGTATTAAAATAAAGTGTCATATTAGCTATTTTTATATCACACTTTTGAGAAGTTTCCTACAAACCCATCTTTTTATATAGGTCACTTTTATTTATACGACACTTTTTAAAATAGTGTCCTATAAAATAGTTAGTACGGCACTTTATTTTAGAAGCGTCCTAAAAAACTTGTTAAAACTCCTAAAAGCGTCCTATAAAAACCTATTGTACCACTTTAAGATAGAGCGTTTTTTGGTTTGGTCCTATTAAGTATTTTTTATGACGCTTCTACGTTTTAGGTGTCCTATAAAATCAATATTGTTGTAGTGCCTCTAACTTAGGCTAGACGGTCCAGAGTGTCGAGTCCCGAAAATGGTAAAACTTGGCTCTTATATCATGTTAGAATACGTGGAACCCTATCAGATTACTCTCTAAAAGAACCCTTAAGAATAGCAGGGACGTTCCAATATATATATATATATATATATATATATATATATATATATATAGAGGAGTGATCATATGAAAACCGTCCTCATTTGTGTAAACCGTGCAAACCACCTTCATCTGTCGATTTCATTGTTTAATCTTAT